CCATAGCTGCACAAAATAATAAATAAAATCTTTTAAGGCGAAGTTATACTTACGTTTCATGTTTCATTTCTCAAGAAATGGCATGTCCTCGGCAAGGATCAAGTCTGAGGTCTTCACTTGAACGGATCGGCCCATCCAGCCTCGGTCTCGATCCTCATCTATACTCGAGAACGGGGCCCTACTAGCCTCACGAGCAAGTTTGATTAATCCCCCTCGATAGAATCGGGAACTGTACAGTCGCATAAGATGATCAAGGGTGAAGAGACACCCCTCGATTTTGTTTACAAAAAAAAATGGAGAAGAATTACTATCCTCCAGAAGGAGGGGTGAATTTGACCGAGGGTCACCTCGTACCTCTTGGAGAAGGCAATAGTGTCCGGGTTAAGGGACCCAACGTGAAGTGGTAAATGTAAGCACTTAAAAAACTCTCTACATGGGTAGTAATTGCTTCCTCAGACAAAGGCACCACCACGTGCTTATCGGCCCAGATAGAATCCTCTTTAACCTTAGAGAGGAGATCATCGGTGATCGAAACTTATATATCTCAAAATTTGCTCGCATCGACCTGGTACCGAGGAAGTTTTCTCAACCTTGAAATTAGCATCGGTCGAGCACCCTCCAGGAACGAACTCTTCAGGGTATGGTTCCGTCGTAGTCCCGTCGCCGGCATGTTATGATGAAGAGGCGGTCTCCTTTTGTGGAACAGTCTTAGAAGTTTTTGCCATTTTAAAGTAGAGATGAAGAAGAGGAAATTAAGAAGTTACGCTTTAGTGGTTTGCAAAAGGTTCCAAAAATCTGGGTACAAAAGTTGGAGAGTGAGGAGATTCTTGAAGAACAAGAGTAGAAGAAGCTTTGAACATAAAGTTTGAATGAATGAAAGTTGGGATATTTATAGTTTGCTAATGACGGTTCAAAACCGGTAGTGGCCGACCAACAACTGACATGCATTTAATGCCTTGGAAACTGGACCGACGGGACGTTTTAGTAACCTTTTGTCGCTTACGTCATGATCTATCGAAGCGGTGTTCAGAAGTTCATATCCCTTCTCGTCATCTTCTCACAGAAAAATGAGGGGACTATCTGTACACGGTCAAAACCGGGTTCGTCCATTGTATGACCAGCCGAGGCTAAAACGTGACATGTCAGAGCTCGAGCCCGGGTTATATCGAACCAAGGCGCGAAGTTAAATCGTTGAGCTCGTGACTCTAGGACCGAACAAGATCGAGGGAACTTTGTCGAGCCAAATAACGGAAGACCGAAATATCTGGGATCGGTTGGAGATCACGACGGAATTCTCGACACGTATCAAGGGGAGGCCAATTAATTAGCAAATCATGAGATTGATTGCCTTATATAGAATTGTATCAAGAGTAGGACTCCCCTACTATATAAAGGGAGGTTTGATCATTTGTAAAACACATTTTAATACGCAGCGAAAAACAATACACTATTATTTTTAGCTCTTATCATCTTGTTTTTCAGTTCTAACGTCAGTTGAAGAATTTCTTGGATCGAGAGTGATCAAACTCAAAGGCCGAGGCTGCTCAATTTGTGTGGTTTGTATTTATTTTCCTATCATAAATTTCAATATTAATTTATTTTCTTAATTTGTATCAAGTTATATCACGTATCCTTAAAACCACGTATAAATTCAATTGTTATCCGATTTTGTGGGTAAACGCTGGTCTATTTCTCTTCCTTGATGAATTGACCTAGGAAGATTATGTATTTCTACCATAGTAATTTCCTTCTTTGAGGGAATAGGGAACGGGTTAAGGAACCTGAATTTTCATTAAGCCAGAGTTTACTTAAGTAGAACTTTTTCTGTTTCAATTTATATGGCACACTTTGGCTTAACATACAAAATTGTAATAGCTTATCATGAAGATGATCTAAACATATATGCTTATTATGGTTGCTGGAAGGCAGACTTTAATAAACAAACTGTTTCATCTTTTGTACTGTTTTCTTTTCCTTTATTTATCTTTCTATTAGTACCTTCTATTTGCTCTCTATTCCCTTTTCGGTCGTAGCTCTCGCTATAAAAGTCCTGTCTTCTTCTACCTTGCACCTATGAACAAGTAATATATCTCTGCACACTAATGTAGTACTAAATGGTTTTTGTTTTTCATAGTAGTAATAGGAAAATTTTATTTTGTGTCTCATACAACAACACTAGTTGTATGATGCAATTTTTTTATCTCATAGTTTTGTGGACCAAGATTTTTATAGACCCAAAAATATAAAATTGAGTTCTACAAATTTGTAAGACAAAAAGGAGTCTCATACAACTAGTATAAGTTGTATGAGACACAAAATAAAACTTTCTCGCATTAATCTTATTTCAACATTGCGTCTTTTGGATAAAATGCAACATGATAATAGCTCATCACCACGAAAAGAGGAATGTACTTTCAAAAGGATAATTGAGTGGAGGCTTACATTTTGTATTTTAAAAAAAGAGTGTTACATCTTTGTCCGACCTGTTGTTTTTCTTCAACCTCTAGACTGGTCCCCACGAAATCACATGGACCATTATTAAGTATCACATGTAACATTTACGTATACAAGCCGACGTCTTTTGTAACCAATTTTGAATCTCGAAACCATATCCCTTTCAATAAATCGATTGATTCATGGAGAAATTCGTAGAAGTATCAGAAGCAGAAATACGAATAGACTTTGCATTAGGCAGCAAATGTCGAGCTACAGTGTACCTCAAATCACTTATTGCAACCTCTCCAATAGCCTTCAAAGTCCAAACTTCGTCTCCTCATAAGTTCCTAGTCAATCCACCCAGTGGCCTAATTTCACCTTTATCTTCAACCACATTCCAAGTTATTCTCAAACCACAATCCCAACTCCCTTCAACTTTCCCTCGCTCCCCTTCTGACAGATTCCTTATTAGAACAATACTAGCACCACAAGTACTCGAACCCAATCATTCCGAATTCGTTAACTCCTGGTTCAGCTCAATTGGGCATCGTTCCACGACGTACGACATAAAACTCAAGGTGGTATTCGTGGGCCCCTTTCTTCTTCGCCATGCTGTTAGTAACGGAGATTCTGAATCCGTTAGAAACATTATCAAACGGCAGCCATCCGTTTTCTCTGAGTTTTCAACTCGGGAAACGGAGTCACTCCTCCGAGTTGCAAAGCAGCTGGATAATAGTAAAGAAATTGTGAATATCTTGGTTGAGGGCGGATTAAAAGTGGACGCGTGTTCTGAATCAAACGTCGACGTTAAATGGGTGTCAAAGGGGTGGACGGCGTTACATATTGCCGTTGCAAATGATAGGAGAGAAGAGATTGAGAGGCTGCTGAGAGTGAACAGACAGCAGGGTTATTTGGATAGCAGAGATAAGGAGGGAAGAACGCCGTTACATTTAGCGGCGAGTAAAGGGTTATTGGAAAGTGCGAAGGTGTTGATAGGTGCAGGTGCGCAAGTGGATGGGAGGAGCAAGGATGGTAGAACGGCTTTGTTCAGAGCAGCTGCTAATGGCGACTGTGAAATGGTGAAGATGCTTGTTGAAATGGGCGCCGACCCTACTATTACTGAATTGCGTCTTGGCCGTTCGGCTCTTGATATTGCACGAGCTAAGGGCCATGTAAGTACTACTCCCACTTTATGTTATATTCTGATTGTTCCAATTTATGTAAACGTTTAATTCGGTACGAAATTTTACAAAAAAATAAGACTTCTCGAATTTGAGTTTCTAAATAAGTAAAAAAAGGTTCAGAGTATTTGTGTGGTTATAAAAGCTTCTAATCAAAGGTAGAATTGTAAGTTTAAGCTAAATTGTTTTCAAATTTAAAAAGAGGTAATTCTTTTTTAAACGGACAAAAAATTAAATAAATTCACATAAACTGAAATGGAGGGAGTATGCCATCTCGGTTTTTGACTAGATAAGAAATTTAAGAAAAAAATGCAATACGAATAACTTCATAAGAATTGTGATCTTAAACATAATATAAGATTTCTTTACAAAAAAACCCTTTTATTCCAATTTATGTGGCATGAAATTTAAACTATGTGATCTTAAACATGATATAATATTTCTTTAAACTATGAAATTTAAAAAAAAAAATTGGAATAAATTAAAAAAAAAAATGAATCACATAAAATGAAATGGAGCGAGTAAAGTAATCGAATTTATTGAAGAATGCATTGAGTCTCGGACTCTATTTAGGGTAATAATGGATTGTTTCTATTACGATCCAACTTCACATAGTTCATATACATTGTGAAATAAATGCATGTTTCTTTTCTCGAATGCTTAAATAATGGTATTGTAACAGGGGCGTAAATAAAGGCCAAATTGTACATGTAGAAAGGCATTGGTTAAGCTAGGATTGAACAAATGTAGAATCTGTCTCATGATTAGATTCAACATTTGTTAAATACCTTAAAACCCTTCTAAACTTGACAAGGATTATTAGTTACAGCCTTAAATTATTCGTGATTTTAATTACCCCCTCAATTTGGTTTTTTGGAGTCATTACCCCCTGGACGCTGATGTGGTAAAGAGTGTGGGTGCACTCGCATGCCACTTAAATTTTTTCTGTATATGTGGCAATTTTTGAAAAATAAAATATATTTTACCTTTTTAAGTAAGTTACTTCTTTAGATAATTTTTTCCGAATACAATTTATAATAAAAATTTGACATTATTTAGGTTAAATTTTTTTATTTGGCTAAAAATAATAAAGTTTTAGTTAATATTTTTTTTGAATTTGACCTGAAAATAANCAATTTAGACTAAATAATGTCAAGTTTTATTATAAATTATATTCGGAAAAAATTATCTAAAGAAGTAACATACTTAAAAAGGTAAAAATATATTTTATTTTAAAAAAAGTGTTACATATACAGGAAAAATTCATGTGGCAGGCGAGTGCACCCACACCCTTTGCCACATCAGCGTCCAAGGGGTAATGACTCTCAAAACGCCAAATTAAGGGAGAGAATTATGACCACAAATAGTTTAAGGCGGTAACAAATAATCTGTTCAGAGAGGTTTTAAGGTAGTTTGCCTTTAATTTAATTGAGATTGGCCCTCGCTTTAGTCCTAGTTCTGTAATCCTTCTGTACGGGAATGAGCATGTTATTCCTGTTTTGTGTTGGGGTGTTATTTTTTTGGTAGGAGGGGAAACCCGCATCCGCTAGAACTTTTGCTACATTCTTTGCCCTTCGGGTGAGCACTCTGTGGTGAGCACTTTGTGCGCACTGGGTAAACCTCCCCCTATGTAATAGACTACAAGCCATACAGGAAATGTAAACCGCACTAGACAAACCCTGTGCGACAGGCTCAACCCAGAAAACATTAAGGGGAGATCCGATCCCAGACGGATGACCACCCTCCAAACCAACTGGACAACCCGAAAAGTTGGGTGTTATTTTAACCTCAACTTTCTTGTAATTTTTGTTTTTGCTATATATACTGGTAGGGGATCCGTGCCAAACCTCTTCGATCCCAAGGAGGATTTAATAAGAAAAGTAGTAACAATAATAAGGGCCAAGCGTCTATAAATAGAACATTCACCATATTGATATCTTCTGAAGACACTGTAAATTTTGTAGAAACAAAACTGAAAGCATGTTTATAAGAGAAACTCTTGAAACGTGTACAAAGATATACCCCTACCAGTGGTCGATCTCACTTTTTTAGAAATTAGCCCTTACTTATTAACAAGTTGTTTACCTCGAAAATACGAATAACAATTAAATTTGATTTGTGGTTTAAAAGATATATAATTTAATTCAATACCAATTAATAATCAAGAAGTATAATCGATAAATGAAAGAAACGAGTGAATCAAACCAGTGTTACTTAAGCAATATCGACCTCGAGCTCAGTGACCTCGAGCTGGGTTAAGAGCAGTGAGGTAAGAACAATAAAGCAAGAGCAATAAAGCTAAAGGACAATTCTGATGAACAATAAGCGAGAAAAATGGGATAGTATATTCTTTGCTAATGATTAGATGAACCTTACAAATGATTGAAGTCCCCTTTATATAATAGAGGAAACCCTAAATAAGGTACATTCCCATTTACAGTAAAGAATCTTATTGGGATAGTTATATAACAGCCTAGTACGGATTTGTACTGATTCGTACAAATCTATTCCGGAATTTACGTCATGATCTTGGGGACGTGGCGGGAATTTTGTTCTTCTGAAATGTGGTTCAAAAATGTAATCTAGCGATCATATAAGTAATGTTGCCCTGTCTACCATGTGCGTAAAGAGCTAGTCTGGTTTCATTGCAGTTATACTTTCCTTTTCTGTAACATTTAGCGATCATATAAGTAATGTTGCAGGAGGTAGTTGTTAAAATTCTCGAAAGAGGAGAAGCAGTGCTACATGCAGCAAGACGTGGAGATTTCCAGCTGCTCGAGGCGCTGCTCGAAAAGGGAGCAAGCACCAACTTCCGCGACCAATATGGTCTGACAGCCCTTCATGTTGCAGCGATTAAAGGGAACAAAGATGCAGTAATGATACTCGCTGAATTCAGAGCCGACTTAGAATGCCAGGAAGCAGAAGGCCACACTCCCCTGCACATGGCCGTCGAAGGTGGATGTGCACAAACGGTAGAAGTACTGCTAAACAGAGGAGCCAATGTGAATGTTAGGAACAAGAAAGGTGATACTCCTCTTTCTATTGCCAGGTTTTTGGGTTATGAAGATATAACGCAGCTGCTTGTTGATGAGGGTGCTGTGCTTTCTCTTATTCCCTCAAATTCCTCCTCTCCCTTATCTTGATTCCTGGCTATGATAGATTGTACTGCTTTTATGAATGGTACCACGCCGTTGACCAAAAAGTAAATTTCGTCCCTTTCTTTCAAACAAATCTTTGGTTACAAGCAAATTAAATGATTCTTATACATACGAAAGTTAACGGTTAAGTTCATAAAAAAAGATAGGTAAAGTCCTATATTCAAGAATATTTTACCCAAATTCAAGGTCATGATTTAATATAATAAGTGTTTAACCAAAAAATAGGAATTTCGGTCTAAGCTTAATTTTAGAAGAACTCGGGTTACTGATAATCAAATAAGGAAATAATAAAAAAGAAGAATTGAATTGAAATGTAGCTGAGTAAGCAAAAGAAAGCAAAGTAAATCAGTGTATTCCAATAATAATTCGTGTCCCTTTACAAATGTTATTTCTCTCCTTTTATAGCTATTTTTAAGTATTACATTTCTTTCCTCTCATAATAGAGCCATAATGAGCAATTAATAGCATTAATGTAACATTATAATTAGCAATCGTAACTGTTTTGAGAAGATTCTATAACGTTTTCTGTCATTGATGCTCATTAATTACAGATGATACGTATCTGTACTTTTTGCTAACTAGGTTCATTCTTCCGATGTCTCTTCAAGTTACCAAGAGATCCGAGTAACCGTCCCTTCTTATTTTTTGGTATTCTTGCCCGTATCTGTCAAGGTCCACAACTCTTTGAATACTCTTTGCCAGTTGGCATACTTTCATTAATCCACGTGTCTTGACATGTCAGCACATAATTAAAATCAAACGCTAACTTGATTTTCCACAATACAAATAGCNACACCTTCTCCAGAACTGACGCTTCGCATGTCACTTCTATTTAATGCTCGTGACATGTGGAGGCTTTTGATTTGCTCTGCAACCCCTCAGCGCCTTTTAGGGCTTTTTTACGGCTGCATCAATCACGAAGTGACAGTTTTCATTATGACGTTCCCATCATTACCTCTTTTTGTTTGATAGTTGCTTATGAGTATAAATATATCCTGTCTTTTCTTTCATAGAAAAGTTTTCCATCTTTGGCTATTCAATCTTCCTTTCTTCTTCGTATAGCTATGTCTTCTTCAAACCCTGATCCTCAAAAAGTTCTTATCATCGATTAACTTCCTCTTGCTCCAACTAGGAGCAGGAGATGATGTAGGTTAAGTAGTTTAGAATCAACGTCCATTCGAGGTTCTTCTTCATCTCTACCTACTTCTACTCCTCCTTCTTCTGCTAGAACTAGGGGGTCTCTTCCACATAGATCTTCTTCTAGAAATAGGGACTCTAATGAACCAGTCCGTGAACCCATAGTAGACGATATTATCCCTCTGAACTTTCTTTTTATACTGATAGAGAATCGATTAGGAATCAGGTTTCTTCTATGTCCTCTCTTGATCGTGCTGATGTTTACCCTTCTCAGATTACTGAAGGTTTGATCTCTGTTGTCCGTAGAGATTGTCATTGGAAATTTGACTTCCAAATTATAATTCCTAATGCAAATCAAAGGATCACGTCTTTCAATGCTGGCTTTTGTTTCGTGTATACGTATCCCTTTACACTAAATTTTAGACCCCCATTAACCTTGTTGTTATCGAGTTCTGTCATTTTTTCAATGTGTGTTTAGAACAAATTGGCCCTATTGTATGGAGGATTGTTGCATGTTTAAGATACTTGACTAATTTGGCTCAACTGTCCTTCACCTTTTTTCATCTAATCCACCTTTACTCCCCTAAGCTATTCCGTCATGGAATTTTTACTTTGGTGGCGAGGAGTAAGAGGGTTTTAGTCAGCCCTGAGGTTGATAAAGATCGTGGCTGGTACGCCCGATTGTTGCTGCTCCCACTGTAGGGCTAGTAGGTGAATAAAATATGCCATTCCCTCAAAAGTGGAATTTCGCACGTAAGTTTTCTTTACAACTTTCTCTTTTTTTTTTATTAAAAAGAGTTTGTACTTCCCGTGACTGTTTAACTTTTCTTATTGCAGCAACCATGGGAACTGTTGAAAAGATTTCCAACTTCCGTGGTTGGGTAGAAAAGTTATTGACCATTGCTCCAATGGAAGTTAGATCTTGGAAGTACCTTTCAAATAAGTTTGGTTGGAAGGTTAAGACCCACGGTAAGAATTTTTCCTTCTATTTTCATCTATTCTTCCATTAGAATATTTTTAACCCTTCTTTTTATCAGGGTTTCCTATTAACGGTGTAAGTGCTTAATCGATTGAAGCTTCTAGACTTTCTTTGGCAAGAGCTCTGGAGATAATCTTGAGTTCTTCATCGAAAAGGAAAGCTAACAAACCCCAGGATTCTAAAGAAGAGGAGGAACATGATGGAAGTTCTTTGGTTAAAAGGCCGTGGGCTAGAAGGCGGGTCATTTCAGATGATGAAGTTACTCCACCTCGTTCTGTTCCCATGACCGAGCCTGCTGAAGCCACTTTAGTGAGTTCTGACGAAGATACTCCTATGGTAGATCGTGACTTTGATGAACAACTTTTTTCACGTGGGTTTGATAGTGAAGGTTTTGATTTGGTGTCTGATGAAGTACCTCTTGCCTCTTTCCCCGTATTTGTACTAATGGAACGCTCTTTGCCTGTTTTTATTGCTGTTGTTTCTTCTTCGCCTCAAGCTATTATAACTTCTTCTACAGCCCCCACTAGTAATGTTTCTAGAACTGAAGTTGGTACTTCAAGTGGAAGTAGAGTGATGCAGAAAATTACCATTGAGGTTCCTGCTGATGGTAATCTTCTGAAGAAGTCAGGCCAAGCTGACGTATGGTTAAAACCCTTGATTGGTCCAGTTGAAAAGTCCAAGCTAGAAAATCATAGTTCTTTGACTTGGATGAATGACATCGTGCAATCATCATTGAAGATATTGATGTCTTTTAATGTTCTATTCCATTTTCCTTCTGCCAAAATTCTTACCCCCCTTTTTATATGTAGATCAATCTCATCGGTACATAGATGATGAAAAGGGTTTTCCATATAGAGCAATTGATGCATGATTACCAAATTGAGGCAGATAATTGGAAAGAGCAGTATGAAGTCTCCATCTTGAGATGGAATTTTTAGAAGAAAACAAACGTACCTTAGAGCAGCAGCTGAGGGTTATGGCATCGGAGTTAGCAGTTGTGAAAGCTTCTTCAAACCAGACAGGCAAGGATAAAATCCTCCTCGAGTCATCTTTTTCTGAACAACTCTCCAAAGACACCGAAGAGATCAAATGTCTGAAGGCCTTGTTGAATGAGAAAGAGGTTTATGCAGGTGAGCTTGTTCAAACACTCACCCAGACCCAAGAAGATCTCCGTGTGTCTTGTAATAAGGTCAAGTTTTTGGAGAGTTCCCTTGCCCCTGTACAATCTTCTTACGATGCTGCTTTGATTGAGAGGGAGGAACTCAAGAGTGAAATTGATCAATCATTGGGAAAGAGACTACGAGGCTCTTGAGGACAAAGCTGTTGTTGAAGTAAGTTGGGCCATATTGAACACGCGCCATGATACCCTTATGGAGGTTAGCCAAGAAGGTTTTAACTTGGATGCTGAGTTAGCAAAGATTATAGATACCATCGAAAAAACTCAGCAAGGCCAAAGTTTCTCTTCTCCCATGGATGATACTCCCGAGAACGTTGAAGCTGATCCTGGTGCGGTGGATGTCCCAGCTCCTTCAGAACAAATTGAGCCTTCTGCTGCTGATGATGCCGTCTTGAACTCTTCTTTTGAACCTGCTCCACAGTGAAAGTTTATTTATGAAGTTTGACTCCTTCTTTTTTCTTTTTGGTGGAATGTGTGATGGTATTACCCCTGGTCCCATTTTGGGGGTTATGTTTTTGGTAACAGCATGTCCCCAAGTCTTTTCGGGGCTCTAAAATGACAATTAGTTTAAGACTAAGTTCATACTTAGTATTATAAAATTTTCGTTTTAACTTAATTCTTTTGAGTTTCTGTTATACTCTTTTAATAATTTGCCTTGTTTTTTTATAAGTCCAAGGTCTTTCTTTTAATACGTGGGGTTTTGTCTTAGCCTTTTGACTTTTTGCAATTTAGAAATGCTTAGTTAACTTCATGGATTTTTGAATCAAACATGAGTTATAAAATAAGGACCTTTTATATATGACATTGTGTACAGTAAAATTGGGGTGTCCAATTTCCTCGTCATTATGGTGCTCCGTGAACATGTTTCTCGAGGTTCGAGACCGAGGTCGAGGCTCACTATCAAGGGTCATCGGGGCCCGATCTCGGGGCAGTGCAGACCAACAGCTATATTAGAAAAGAGGGAAGTTCCCAAGACGCTTGGCTATGACTGACAGAGCCTAGCGGGTTGTTCTAAACCCAACGTAGGGCGTCAGGACATCATATCTAGCTGTCCCATCCCCGTATCCGAGTAGTTAATGTATTTTGTACTATGTTATGATTTCCCTCCTATATAAGGGGAATTCCTACCATTCTTGTAAACCCTATTGTTCCAACTGCTCCATAAGAAATATAGAAGAACATTCTCTTTGCTCTCTCATACACTCTCTTGATATTATTGCTTTCATTTACTGTCTTCATATTTGTTCATCATTTATTGCTTATCATTGGCCATAAGAGGCTTCGTTGATTAATTCATAATTGCCCTACCCCAATCACCCACGATAGCCCGAGTCCGAGCCCTGGAATCGACTTCGAGGCCCCAACTCGACCGGCTCGAGGCCTTGAATAGCTGACCCAACGGTTTGGTTATAGCTCTCTCCCTAACTTTATTTCATCTCTAAGTCTCATATAATCAACATCAATTGCTTAATAAACTAGCATAAAAATAGATCACGTATGTTTAGGGTCTCATCAACAAATTTAATTGTTATTACTATTTTCACAATAAACAGTTTGACGCCCACCGTGGGGATAAAAATAATAGTGATTATTTTCTTGCTGGTTTCGTCACACAACGCAAGTTATCTTTCATACCTGTTCTTTCCCAAGATCTTCAAATTTCAGGTTGAAATGCCTAACTCATCAGACAGAGGTAAAAACAGCTACCTGGAAGACCGGGGAGAAAGTGCTATGGTTGTCCTTGCTTGGGCGCAAAAAGAGCTCCCTCAACACGTCGTTCATATGATTATTGGAGGGGCCGACATTCTCCAAGGGCCCATGATCAAGTGGACAAAAATATCCGCCGCGATAGAAGGGCCAATCCGAGACCACGTGGCCGAAGACACCCTCGCGTTTAGCGAAGAGGATCTCGAGACCTTGACAGAACCACACAACGACGCGCTGGTAATCTCATTCCTTTTAAACAACGTATGAGTTAAATGTGTGCTCGTGGATCCAGACAGCTTGTCTAACGTGATCAGGTCAGGAGTAGTGGAGCATCTCGGGTTACTCGACCAGATCATACCCGTCTCCCGGGTCCTCCACGGCTTCAACATGACCGGCGAAGTAACAAAAGGAGAAATCACCCCCCTAGTCGACACGTCCGACACGGTTCAGAACACAAAGTTTCAAGTCATCAATGGAGACATAAGATATAATGCATTGCTTGGAAGGCCGTGGATACACAACATGAGGGCAGTACCATCAACCCTGCATTAGATGATTAAATTTACGACAAAGGACGTCATAACGACATATACAGAGAACAACGTGCAACGAAAGAAATGTTCGCGGTTTATCAGGGGGAGTCGACCCCCGTACTCCCGACCTCGGACGTGTCTGGGAGAATACAGACCCCCGAGGATGACGAAGAATATTTCCTCGCTCCTCAAACTTTGTTTCCCCCGAAGAGTCGGATGCAACGGAATCAACAATCGAAGATCTGGAGCAAG